ACCGGCTTCACCCTGAGCACTGCGTAGATCATTTTGCATACGCTCGCGCTCCCTCAGTAGCTGAGCTCGCTCTTCCTCCAGGTCGACGATCCTCAGATCCCGAGCAGAAACGGCACCCTCGAGGTCGGCCATTCTTGAAGACTCATCCTTTTCCTTCAAGGAAAGGCCCCGAGCTATTCCCAGTGTCTGCAGAATGGTGCAAGGTTAACCTCGGGACGTCAAGTTAACAAAAATAATGTGAAAACAGCCGACGAGCTTACCTTCAAGGCCATAGCCTCGAGAGCCCTCAAGCCATTGCTTAAGTCGACATCTGCCCGGTATTTGTCGACGATGCTGAGCACTGAGTGGCACCGAGAGCATCCCTCGGGATTAGAAGGCCCCGGTGGCAGGCTCCCATCCTCGAGGTCGACCACATCAACAGGTCCCCGAGGAACAGACCCCCGAGGAGTCCCCTGCTGAGCCTGCTGTTGAGATCCCGTCCTCACTATTCCCGGGGCCCACTGGTCTGCCTTTCCTGCCTCGAATCCCGAGGTCTCTTTTGGCCCCTCATCTGGCCGGGAGCCCGAGCCTGGGGAGCCTTGGACTTCTTGTTCACTGCCTGACGAAGGGCACTTGGATCAAACGTCATCTCTGCAAAAATAAAAATTACATGTAATTAGCACGAGCATAGCAAGAATACAGATCGAGAATTTAAGCGTCAAGTTCACATATCCTACCCTCGATTCCCTTCATGTTTGCAAGCTCGAGGATATCATCCCCGAGGATATCATCCAAGTCATAAACGAGGGGCTCGAGCTCCTCTAGCATTTGCCTATGCCTCTCCAACGATTCAAAGTATGCCTGACCCCCACAAAACCTAGCAGTATCAGGAACCCCCCACCGAGGACTAAAGGGAACGTCGGGATCTTGACGTATAGCATAGAACCACTTATCCTTCCACCCCTTCAAGGAACTAGGCATCCTCGGGATTCTAAACCCTCCTCGGGTTGAGAGGTAAGCAAAACAAGAATACTGGGGGAGTTGTTTTAGGTCGAAGACCATCCTACACAAGTCGACATATGGGATAATCCCGAGGTATCTACAAGCTATAAA